TGGCATATACCCAAAGGACTCATCCTATTGTAGAGACACTTGTACAACCATGTTTGTTGCTGCTCTTTTCATAATAGCTAAGAGATAGAAGTAGCCTACGTGTCCCTCAACTGATGAGTGGTTAACAAAAATGTGGTATATTTACACAAAGGAGTTCTATTCAGCAGTAAAGAAAGATGAAATGATGAAATTTGCAGGTAAATGGATGGATCTAGAAACTGCTACACTAAGTGAAGGAACACAGACTCAGAAAAACAAATGACATATGTTCTCCCTCATATGTGGATCCCAGCACCAAGTCCTTTTAAATTCCAGATCCTTTTAATAAAATGATGCTATGCAGCAGTCCCTTCTGCATGAAATAACGACCATTACCACAATTTCAGCTGGGCCTGATTGCTAAACATCATCACAACTGGGCTTGTTGACGGTTGTACTCATTCATTAAAGGAGGGCCAAGCAGGTTCATTGGACCCCTCACTGCATTATCCAGCCACTCTTCCCAGCCAACTGTATGTAATTTGGCCCTACTCACACATGGCCTCCTGGATTTGAGGAGGGCTAAAGTATACAATCTGGGGAAGGCTAGGAAGAGAAGGCATGACCCATGCTGGGTAAAGGCTCTCCAATGTGCAGACCCTCAGGTTATACATACACCTCAGCAACCCCTCAGTTATCTCAGTAAGTAAACTTAACAAATTCTTTGGTTCCCCAGTAAAACTTTAATCAAACACTGGCTCAACACTAGAACCTTGAAAGGGAATAAGCATTGCTTAGCAAACCCAGGAAAAGAAGTCTCACAACAGATGGAAAATTTATTTATTGATACTATTATGTCTCATAATTATTTTTAAAAAAAGAAAATGAGAATGTAAAAGACATTAAAAGGATATGGGAATGGAGATACTTTTAGTTTAAGGAACAAAATATATATCTAGTCAAGATTTATCTGAGAATATTTATTTTTTTACCCAAGCCTTATGTACATAGCACATGATAATTAAGAGTACCAGACTGGCGGAGGCAAACTTATTGGATGTTTAACAGCCATAGTTTGACCTATACTAATGTGGTCAGAGGGGCTTAAAGCACAGTTTTTGCCCCTTGCCCTCCAAGGTCAACTAAGTTCCAGGGGACTATAGAACATCTCTCAAAATGTCCTGTAACTGTGATGAGTCATCTGTCCTCTTTCTTGTTCAGGGAGGCCATGGAGACCCCACGGGATGGACTTGAATCAATGTCCAGTCTACAAAGAGGCGGGTCAACTCAGAGGAAACATCTCATTCATGATTCCAAGTGAAGCCAGACATGGTCGAGCAGGACCTTTGACTTATCTTCACATAGATGAAACTGGTAAAAGAAAGGAGCCAGCCTGGCGTGGTGGCGCACGCCTTTAATCCCAGCACTCAGGAGGCCAGCCTGGTCTACATAGTGAGTTCCAGGACAGCTGGGGCTACAGGGAGAC